AGGTTTGGCTTTTGAGTAGAACTATTGAAATAAGGAGAAAGGTATAATATTTTGAAAAAAGTAAGAGTCACTTGGATTGAGAAAAAAAATAGTTGTATTGTTGTGAACAAGATTCATTGATAAGTGGTAACTCTTGATGTAATGGTGCTTAAATAATTTGGGGAGTTAATGCATGTTGATATCAAGGTGAAGTATGGTTTGACATAAGTGTGGGGTTTTGAATGTTAAAGTGTATGTATTAAAGTGCTTAGGGAAGTGTAGTCACTCTTATATCTAAATGTATCCTACCCGTCCCGAAGCCTACATTACAACCAATAAAAGTCCTACTTGATCCTTGACTGAATGAGCTCAATTAGTAGAGTAGTACATTATGGGCAAGCCTATGGTTCATCTTTTGTGGCATATGAATGATGTTTCTGAGAGTGAGTGAATTCTCTCTATCTTGAGTTCCTGATTGTTCTTAATTTTTATTGTGTGTGGAACTATTCTCTTTTGTTGTGTGAGGGAACATGATTCATGAAGGAAAGGTAATATCATTGACCTCTATGTTAGAGTAAGTGAGTGAGTTGTGAATAATGTGTGGTACTTGTGAGTCAAATCTTGAGGTGAAGATGTTAAACTATTGTGCTTAGTCTATTTTAAATATTCTTGGTGTGATGAGTTAGGAGAGTTGCTGAGTAAGGTTGTGTCTATATAAAGTGTAGTTTGATTGCTTGAGGACGAGCAATGGTTTAAGTATGGGGTGTTGATGGTAGGTTATATTCTCATGTTTTAGTCTATTATTACATTCCAGTTTACTGCACTTTAGTTGAGTTTAAGCTTTAATCTCTAGTGTTTTGCACTAATTGTGTGTTTTATGCTTTTTAGGAGTGATTATGAACTATGTAGATGTTGTAGAATGAATTCAAGTAATTTGGAGCTTTGAAGTCTTAGTAAAAGCCCAAGAAATTAAGTCGGGATCGTGTCCGGGGAACAACGGATGATAGTGGAACGAAACGAAGAATCGAGTAGGCATATTACGCAATGTCTAAATAAAATGCACATATCCTTTCGCTCGGAACTCCGTTTGGGCTGCACAATATATTGTTGGAAATCTAATTCAAAGGTCTACAACGTCCATGTTTTACGGTGTTTCAAATTCCCAACAGAACAGGGTGAAAAGTGCACAGCAAGTGCACGTCCGTGCACTAACCACGCATATGGGGCAGAACAGTGTGAAAAGTGAGCGGCTAGGTGCGCGGGCACACTTCCAGGTGCGCGGCCGCGCACGTACAACTCCGAAAAAGTGTCCTATTTCGCGTAGGTGAAAGTATATTTGTTTGGGCCCGACCCTACTTGGTATATATACATGAAAAAATGGTATTTTGAGGACTTTTGACACATCTAAGACCTAAGGAGGCTAAAGAGAAGTTGGAGAAGGAAGAGCACAAGGAATCCATTATTCAATCCCAACTCAAGACAAGGGTTTAGATTGTTTTATATTTTTATTTATTTTAAACTTAATTGTGATGAATTACTCCATATTCATGAATTAATTCTTCCTTAGAGATTGATGGATTTGGTATTTTGAGAATTGTTTGTGGATATTAACTCTAGATTTATGTATTGAATCGTTTTGGGTATTTTTATTGTTGCATTTATATTCACATATTTATGTAATCGAAAGAGACATAATTTATGATGTTATGCATTATCTTGTTGGCTGAATTCGTTGATTCTTCTTAGTAATCGAAAGAGACTAGTTGAATTATAAAGATTAACCCACTACGAATTCTTGCATATCTTCACTAAGCTTAACTTAGTTTATATTGTGAGGTTGAGACTTAATCGAGAGAGGAGTTTCTTTTAATCAATTGAACTAATAACCAAGTGAATTCAAGAGACTCACTTGAACATTATAAGTGAATTGCCTAGAGTTAAATCTCAAACATTTGTCTTGCACCTATCCTATCAACCATATCTTCTCCCAATTGATAACTTCCTTTGCTTAATACTTGCGTTGATTGTCATTAGCCAATAGTTTAGACTTTTAGTTAATTTATTTTTAATTCACATAAATATAAATTGTTGATCATCTTGGATAGCAATTAAACTAGAAGCTACAAAAACACTGTTTAAATTCAATCCTTGTGGATACGATATTTTCTATACTATATTCGACTAGCGAGCATAATTTTCTGTTATATTTTTAGTTCGTCAAGTATCTTGCCTAATCTTGTGTGAGGAAATAACCCTTAGGATTTGGCCTGGTTTGCCTAAATGTGATATGTAAAAAGTGACGTGTGCGTGAAGTGACGAGTGTGTGCACGGGTGCTATGTGTGGTTTATCACCGAATTAGACTTTAGGCTTCTAATGCTTTATTTTGATTATATGATTTATGTGCTACATGTTTGAGCATTTTTATGACTACGTGAACTTATCATTTCATGCTAGAGATCATATCCAAGGTTATTATCGCTTAATTGGCCAAGATGGGCTATTATGGAATGGTTAATTGATCTAGCCGTAGTCATACTCCATATATTGAGCACTCTTCTGCGCTTTATTGTTATTGATATTCTTGTACACTTTGTCGATAAATTATATGCATATGTTTATTTGGCATCTTGCATTGTTATAATTATCGCATATGTGGGGATGTTGCGCAGATAGATTTATGTTGGCACGAGGTCATTTGCCATAAGGATATGATGGTATTGTTGTTGTTATGGCACGAGTTCATTTGTCGTGCGATTGATATGATTATGGCACGAGATCTTTGCCGTGTCTTTGCCGTGAGATTGACATGAATATGGCATGAGGTCTTTGTCATGCAGTGTGTGGATACAGCTCCATCCCCCTAGGGTTGCCCTCTCATATTTCTCTCTTGATGGGGTAAAAGCGGGTTGTGGTACTTTGATTGATGTGGAGGCGGTTGATGATGAGTGGAGTATAAGGGTGGCATTCTTGATCATGCAAGTGATCCTTTATGCTTTGTCATGCATTTTACTTGTTTTCACGTTGCATTTAACATGCTAGCCTATACCTCTGTTATTATTTAATGATTCGATTTGTCAAGATGGATTTACCTATGTTGAGTTGATATCTCATGTTTTGTTGATTTGATGGTATTTCATCTCATTATATTCTTTTTGCAAGTTATTATATATACACTACACAGGTTCTTTGATTAGTGAGTATAACATGACTTGAACCTCGTCGCTACTTCGTCGAGGTTAGTCCTAATACTTACTAAGTATACATTGCCCCGTACTCATAGTACACTTTTGCACATTTTTGTGCAGATCCGTATGTTGGAGGCAGCGGACCTCGGGAGCGAGCATATCGCTTATTAAGAGGATTCAAGGTAATATTGCATGAATGTCGCAAACCCTTCCCTTAATTCATATTGTTGTATTACTTCCAGGCAGAAATTTACTTTTGAGACTCGTTATGTATTCGATTTTAGAGCTCATGACTCTATACCTAGTTTTGGGAGTTTGTATTATGTATTGCTATTTTGACTTATGATAATTACTCATTCCGTAACTTATGATGATTCAAACTTATTATATTATATTTTGATGATTGAATGTTTTTAGTGTGATTGGCTTACCTAGTATTAGAGGTAGGTGTCATCACGACCTTTGGTTGAATTTTGGGTCGTGACATAAATACTCTCCATTACATAAAGTTGTATATATGTATCAAAGTTGCATTATAGTTACATGAAACTTATATGAAAATTGTATTTAAGTTGTATTCTGTTGTAGTTGTGTTATTTTTATATGAATGTCGTATGAAAATTATAAAGAAGTTATATATTGTATGAATTATTGTATGAAATCTATATTTTTAAGTTGCAAGTTCTAAATGTGTTAAATTTGAATCAATTTTGTACAAAAGTTGTAGATAAGTTTTATAATGTGCGTACATTCTTTTTTTCTTGCTCGATTTGCTAGAGAATGAGATTATTGACATGGTTTTCTAGCGAGTCACTATCAGTGATGGGGATTGAAGGCGAACGGAAAAAGTTTTCCAGCGAGAGTGAAGGAGAAAGGCAGAGGAAGGGTCACCGGTGTGATAGAGGCGTTGGTTTTTTAAATGGTTTCTTGCTGCTTTGGGTAAAGAAGAGGAGAAAGAGGAAAGATCGGATGGTGATTTGGCCGGATATCAGGCGACTGCGAGAGGAATAAGGGGGATAGGAGGGAGGCGGTAGAAGAAAAGGGAGAGAAGAGAGGAGAGCAAAAAGGGAAAATGTGTAACTGAATCCCTTAATTGAACGCGCTAACACGGTTTGAGAGCCTTTTAAGGAATATATAAATTATAAAAAAGAAAAAATCAATTAGTTTTAGTAATTAACAAACTTCAGTTAAAACGGGTAAAATAGTTAGTAATTTTATATACCAAAGCTGGCTTATGAAGGTAGTTAAGTGGGGTATTATCACTTCTAGCCCGCGCCAGATACTATTTACATTCAGTAGCCGAAAAAGTATATAAAATTTGTATAATTTTTGTATATAACATACAAAATGTATATATATACAAAAAATATATATTTTGGCTATTATTTTGAGAGCGGCTATACAGTGTCATTTTCCCTAGTTAAGTGTGTATCTTGACTATTTTCTGCCATACACTTTCCGATGAGCAGTAATCTTATACTATCCAGAATTTTAGACATGAATATATCAAATTTCGTGAATCCATAGAATATGTATTAAGGCTTTTATGATATTATCGCCTTACAGCTTGCACGGAACTAACTAAACAATGTGACGAGCCCTCTTTCGTTTTCTAATTATTAATCAATTAATTCATTGTATGCCATCTTAATTTCTGAAGGCCTCGCCATTTCACACCAAAGCAATTTAGGCCTCTACAATTTTGGACACCTAAAACTGGAGGCCCAAATCGACGAGCAATTTACTTACTACAGCTCCACTTTGATAGGATAAGAAAAGTGATACTGGCAAAATATAGACGTAGAAAACAAACTAAATTAAAAGACACCTTGTACTTTGCCCGCATATAACCAAATAAGCCGAAAGCTATCCCCAAAGTCCCCAAAGTGAACTTGTTACCAATCCATTCAGATACTGGGACTGAATACTTGTAGCATATTGTTTGAGAGATTAAATTTAGAGACATCACAAGTCACAAAAACATCAAAAGAAGTACCGTGTACCTTGCCAACAAGATGTCAATGGTGGATAAGAGAACCATTAATACTAGCTCTCTTTTAGTAAAAGACAGCAAAGTTTTGTACACGAGGCGCCAAGCGCCATAATTAACTGCAGATATTTCAGCAATAAGTTAAACCTTGCGCCTGCAAATTGGAATCTCTATTGTGTTCTCAATCGTGTCTTCCACCTTAGCTTGAAAAGTTTCTTCATTCCCATCATTGTCAATTTTAAAGGTAATGTAGTAGGTAAAGTCACGACAACCACCAGCATTTATCCTCACAATCTCCTTAATATCGCGTTCTTTCCCCTGCAGTTAATAATAGGTAAAGTCAATACTTATGAAGGAAGACCAGCACAGCAGAAAATGGGCAAATAACAACGTATAGATCATACATCATTGCCAAAGTACTTCTTGATTGCCATTGAAGCATAACCCTTGATCTCATCCACAAACTCAGGAAAACGTTCAAATCCGATCATGGGGTAGATGGGAGCAAACATGCACGACCCAGGGTATTCATCAAACTCAAAACCCTATTAAGATGCATATAACATAAATAAACAGATGAGAATTGCGACAGAGTCAAAAGGTTAATACTTTAGGGCATAATTAAGCATTTGAATTCTACGTGATCGGAACAAAGAGAGTAAAATACATCACAAATTTGATAGTTGAAAACTTGGACCACAATAGAATGTGTTTTCATGTAGCAGATTCTGTCATTTACACAAGTTATGCACGCAGATATGTATGTCCATGCAGACAAGAGGGTAAAAGAGAAGTTGTTAGGAATTTCCAACATTTCAGTTGTCACACAAAAAAGAACACTGACAATTGTAGTGGATTGGCTGGTGACATGACAGCGTATCAAAAAACCAAGAACGGAACTCAACAAAAACCATAGATCATTTTTCCCTTCAAGCCCAAACCATATAGTAGAGAGCTAAGTTGTTCGGACTCTTTACTTTCAGTGCCGCACCCGTGTCGACACGACGTGGGTGTGGGTATGGGTGTGGGATCCGTGTCGGATCTGGTCAACCGATTTTGGGTACTTTGACCAAAATCAACGGAGAAATTTGGGACAGATACAATGATTTTTGAAAACAAATCAAAAGCTAGGGTGATATGGAAGAAAATGGAATACCTTGTATATATAAATTTCTATGTCAGTCCTTTTCCTTTTATCTCCTAAAATTCTACTCTTGTTCAATATTTTCTCCTTCTCGAAATACCTTGTAAGTTTTCCACATAATGTCTCATAATTTAGACATATTTTTATAACTCTATTTTTAAATAATTGAATTATTTTTAGCCAAATCCCCGCACCCGTATCGGTACCTGGATCCGTACCCCCGAATCCTTAAATTTAGATCATGAAGGATCTGACCTCTAGATCCGCACCCGTATCGGACACGCACCCGAGTCCGAGCAACTTAGGTAGAGAGCACCCAAAACGGAAAAAAAAAAAAACAAAAATAAAAAGAACCATTGTATAGACAAACTTTAATTACACAAAGAATTGCAACTTCTGTTCCAGCAAGTATGGAATTCCTTTTCCCATTCGTTTAGGAAAATTCCAAGTTAGTGCTTTGTGTACTAGTAGAATTTTTGGCCAAAAACATCCTTAAATTTTAACCAAACTTAAACTACATCCCTAAGCTGTCATTGCTAACAAAGGACATCCTTCAAGTATCCTAACATTAACAAGTTACATCCTGCTGTTAGTGCTGTTAGGATCTGTCAGAAATCTAACGAACATTCTATCAGGTGCACGGCACATGATATTTTATCATCTCCCCCAGAATTCCCCTAGCGTCGATCATCAGGAACTAGAACTAACACCAACAAAAGCCAGGGCACGGTTAAAAATAAGAGATACAAAGTCTGTTCTTCCACTACCAGGGTTTTTGCACCATCTTCTCCATGCTTTTTCTTCCAACCTTTTGCTATCTTGTAATATTAGTTTTAGCAACCTGGTGATTCTTGATTACCTTCTTATCCTTGGTTGTCGATGCTTTTACAAAAAGGAGACAACTATTTTACTCCCAATTGCGTCATAAATCAACACTTCTTCATTCTAGGGAGTATGTCTTTATATCCATGAGTATAGATATATATATGTTGATCAATTAGTTCTAAGTGCTTATTGTTATAAACATGCTCTTTGAAACAAATACCTTAGCGACACTCATACTGAAACTTCTCAAAAATTTGAGCTCAAAAATCAGCAAGAAGCGTTTATCTTATTCCTCTTGTTCCAACTAAAATTTTATAGCCAGAAAGAATGATATCATGTTATTGTATATTAACAACCCAAATGAATATGGGATGTAGGTTACCAAGCTTCTTAAAAAAATTTGAAGCATCAAAATCAACAGATATATACATGTGCACAAGAAGAAAATGCGAATTCTAAATTAAGCACTAAGATTCTTCTCCAAAATCTTCCATTTTTGCATATGTGTTGAATTAATATAAATCAAAATCATGTTTTAACACATCTAGGTAACTGTCTACTGAACCCAATATGATGTCGGGCTAACTTCTCCATTTCCAAGTGTGTAACCAGAAATGAAAAGGGTGCTATTTCTAAAAGTCTACTATGGGCAATTCTACAAGCATACTCTAGCAAGGAAATCCCATTGGGAAGGCAGAAAGGTAAAAGATGCTTAATTAACAACGAGAGCTTTTGCGGGACAAAGACAAAGTTGAATGTTTTTTGTGGGCTTCCGTTAATTTTTTGACAGATCCTAACAGTAGGATGTAACATGCTAACTTTTTTATACTTAAAGGATGTTTTTTGTAAGGAATTGTAGTTTAGGTTGGAGGTATAATTTAGGGATGTTTTTTTTAAGATTTAGAGCTTTAATAAGGCGTAACTGTACAACAGAATAGGAAAAGCACAGGGACTTCAAACATACAACAGAAGGGTACTAACTACAATTCCATCTCTACAATGAAATTTTTTGGGCCATTACAGGTAAAAAGCAAGAACAACGAGGTACGGGGAGAAAAATAGACAAGGTGCATATAAGTTCACCCCACTGATGTGAGAACAACAAAAGGAGGAAAGAGATCACCAGATTCTGCAGAGAAATTTGGCCTAAATTCTATTTCCTTCAAGATTTGAATACACATAAGTTAGGACTAAAAATCTCTTACCAATCAGGTGTTCACAAAAAGAGAAAGGAGGTCAAACATACACCTTCTTACATTGACCTACCCACAAACTTCAAAACAATACCTCCCCTTCTTCTTAGGCTTAACTCAAGAAAATGCAGTCAATTTTATGCCTCAAGAACTAAGGGAACACATGAAACCAAAATACATACAGCCAAACAAGGTGCCTTGCATTTAACGGAAGGTCAAAACAAGCAGCGTTCTTGCAAATACTGTGAAAGGAAATCCAGTTGAAATCTGATAACTAGGTGGTGACTAGTCCTGTAGAATGATTCACCATCCTATTTCAAAGAGTGTAGTGCCTCAGATTTAAGTACGCCTAACATGCATTTTTATTGGATATAGTATACACATTATCAGGTGCATACAAATGTGATATAGAAAAAAATATATCTAAAATTCACAGATGTCAAAAGGCAACACTATCTCTCATCCCCTCCCAACCCATAAAAAAATAGTTGACCTGAACCAGCTTTACCACGCATAGATGCTGAGTAATCCAGAAAGGAGGAATGCATTATTTGAGTGTTGGCACATAAAATTCCATAGTGTCTTGAGCCAAATACAGAAAAAATATACATATTAAAAATGGATTGATTCATGTAAAACACATAAATAAACCACACAAGTAGATAATATAAATAAAAGCATATCCAAAATGAAGTTTAAAAAGAATAAGGAGAAAAAGAGAGATATCAGGAAACATAGGTTTACATCACCTAGTATCCACATGTAGAGCCAGCCACATATAAATGATTTATCCAATAAACAGCACCATGATGCAAATGTACAGTACATGATGCAATCAACTTGCTCCACGAAAAGTTCCAACCAACTTACACATTCAAGAAATTTCAAAGAGCAGCCCGGTGTACAAAGTATCCGCATTCAAGCAAGATCCGGGGAAGGACCGCACCCCAAGGGTTGTGATATAGGCAGTCTAACCGAATGCAAGCATTAGTGGCTGCTTCTACGGTTCGAACCCGTGACCTATAGGTCACACGGAGACAAGAAATTTCATATTATCTAAAAGCCTATATCCTCTTACATGTGCATATATCTTTTGGATTCAAATGTGTCAAAATTTAACTGCTAGAGAACGAGGGAGTTTGACTTCTAAATACTACTCCTCAAGTTACACACTCTTTTCTTCTTTCATCAGGCTCCCATATACTACACCCTTTATTTCAAATAGAAAAGGCAACAGGTAAACCGATAACTTCATATCTTCTAGATCTTGATACCACTTTATATTATCTACGTATTTACGTGGGATTTATTCCACTACTCTTCTTATTACCTTTCACATAATTTCTTCAAGCAAATACAAGTTATTTCCTCCCAACAATCTATGTGATACTCTTTCCTTTTTGGTTTGTCCCACAAAGAATGATACCTTTCTGTATTTAGGAACAATTTAACTTTAAACTTCAAATTTTACCCTTAATGAGACGATTTAAAGCCACACAAATATATATATATATATATATATATATATATATATATATATATATATATAGCTTATTTTAAACCGCAAGTTTTACAAGTCTTTCAAATTAAGATGGAAAGAGTCTTTAAATTTCGAGGAAAAAACAAGAAGCTATTTGCAACAAGTATCAAATTGAAGGCATAGTACATGTACATTAAGCCAGCAATTACCTCGTGACTATATGCACAAATTAAGGTGTTAGTAGTATATTAAACTATTGAGTTAGACAATATATGCAACAAATTAGTTTCAATCTGTTACTACTACATACAATTTTCCATTTTATTCTAATAAAAAGAAAATGGGATAAGCAAAAAAGCATGGTGGAGTAGTGAGGAACATACATCGCTCTCGTGAAGCTGTTGAAAGTACTTGATAAAGACGTCCTTATTTGGCCACGTCATCCAATCATCCGGATCATACCCGAACGACTCTTCCTCCTTCCCTTTTTGCTCTCCATCAGATCCGGACTCATCATCAAACTTCAAATCATCCTTGTTATTTTCATTATAGAGTTTCAATTTCTTCTCAGGAGGCGACTCCTCTTCCGTAGAAGAGTGCGACGAGGTCCCAGCCATCAATTTTTCATCCTCCACCACCACCACAGTTCCACATGCGCACGGCGTCGACATAGTTGCAAGTGTAACCCTAAACCACCGGAATTTCGGCTAAAGTGAACTATTTCTATTTGTGTTTTTTTTATGATATAATGGACCTCGTCTATGAGTACATAGTTTTAAATTATCTGTTTCAATTCATATCGTGTAATTTTAGAGTATTAAATTTAGGAAAGTAGACACGTTACTTTTGAAATTTATGATATTAAATATGTCATAATGTATAATACTTATAAATTTTATAATTAAACGTCTCATAATATTTGAATATTTATAAAAATTTATTATTAAGAGTAAAATAAAAAAAAAATATAAGTTACACCCTAAACTTGTTGGATAAACTAGGTTGCACACTCAACTTTACGGCAGTTAAGTTCTCCGTAAACATCTTTGGAGTGAATTAGTTTTCCCCTTCATGGGCCATGGCCGTGAGACGCGCGTGGTAAACTATCATTTCTGGGCACGTTTACTAAATTTAAAGGATAAAACGAATTTTAAAAAATATTATTTTGAAACATCTCTTCTTTATATTAAAAAAAGACACCAAACGGCCAAAACCAAATTTCCCGTCCAATCCACTTCCCCATCTCTCTCAAGAGCCCTTATTTTTTCTCCCTTATCTCGAATCAACCCCACTTTTTGCTCAAGATATAGATTTTCAAAGTGATTGTTTGCCTTGGACTCAAGCCGCCCTAATTACAATTGTTCAATATTTCCACTATTCCTAATTCTCGAGTGTGTCTCAAAGTAATCCTTGAAGCTTGCAAGAATTACAGAAATAAAAGTTGTACTTTTTGCTCCTGCAATAATTTTCCAAATGAATGTGACAATGGCTAACAATAGTTGCTCCAGAAAGAGACATTATATACATGTTGTTGTATTGGTGAAAAATAAACTCACCACGTGGACCAGAGGCGGATTCAGGATTTGATGGTTACGGGTGTCACTATCTTAATGTAAAACGACCACTAGTGAAGAAGATTGAATTAGGGTATACATTCCGTCGATTCGATTCATTTTGGATTACTTCGGTTCGATTCGATCCATTTTGAATTTATTCAATCCAATTTAAAATTTATTTTATATATAAACGAATATGTGATACACCCATTCCATCTACATGTAACTGATTAATATTATATTATGTCTTTGATGTATCACTATAAAAAAAATTATAATTAATAAAATAACATTATATAGATAAAAAGAAAATAATTAGATTATATCCCTCCATATAAAATACGAACATCCAGAAAAAGACAAAGGAAGCAAATATACAATATAAATAAATAATAAAAATGGAATTGTATAAGAAAAGTGAATATTTAAGATGAAGAAAATAACAACAACAACAACAACAACAACAACTCAGTAAAATCCCACTAATGGGGTCTGGGGAGGGTAATATGTACACAGACCTTACCCCTACCCCAAAGGAGTAGAGAGGTTGTTTCCGAAAGACCCTCGGCTCAAGAAAACAAAAAGACAAAAGGACAAAAGGAGACAATATTAGTATCACCACAATAATCATAGGAAATGAAGAAAATAAGAGAAATTAATAAAAAGAACATAAAGAAAAGAAAGGCTAAAAGGGAACAACCAGAGAATCTGGAGAGTCTCGATCCCGAGTGTTGTGCATGGAATTTCAGCACTTCAACTATGGCACCTTCAATCATTTTGTGACTTGGGGCGCCACTTGTTCTTTATGTAGGCGTTTTTGTGGAAAATATTAGTATGTATATAAAACTTTATCTAAGCGACCGGGTGGCGTGCCACCCACAATTCCATATATAGATCTGCCCCTGACGTGGACCAATAATATGCTAACATATGGCATAGAATCGAAGCAATAAAAAAGAATGAAGAGCGGAGAAGGCATAAGTAACACCCACGGGATCGTCTACGAGGATACCGTGCCTATTAGCTGGAAAAGAGGAAACAAGTACGGAATGGATAACTAAGGATACTAAAAGTCGCGAAGATGGAAGGATCATTAATAGCCACAAAAATAAAAATAAATCCCTGATTATGCACGATTGGTTGTTATTACCTTAACCATTACAAATTACTCATATAACGGGTATTCATGTAATAAATGTTAGTAATGGGCAGGAATTAAATAGGGGGAAGCGATTACAAATTGTACCCTTATATAATTTTTCATACCATATCTTGTATCTCCATCAAGAAAATCACAAAGTAATACTATTAATTGTCAATATTCTTACTATTTTATGCCATCTAAAGATCTTGTTCATTCCTATTAGAAGGAAGTTGTGACTATCAATAAGATTTCTTTTTCCTTATTCTCTCAGTCTTGCTTTTCATTTTTTTTACTTTTTATATTAGAAAAAGTGAAGTAAAATTAGTTATCAGAAACCCGAATTACTGTTTTATTTGCTTTGACCACATAAACTATCTTTTGGTTAAATAAATTGGTTCCGTTACCGGAAAATCTAATAATCTTTTTACTTTTCATTTACATACTTTGTCTTTAGCAACAAATTATGTCTGAAGTTGATCAAAGTATTCAGTAGGAGGATGGACAAGGAGGGAATCCTCCACGCAACACACCCACTCATTTTCCATAATGTTCACGAGAAAATTCAGCTGTCAGATCTGCTAATCGTAACACTGGGCAACAAAATGAAGAACAGTTAAATTTGCAAGATGACTTGAAAAAATTTATTGCGCAGCAGATTGGTGAAGCTTTGTGAGCTTTTACGAGTGGATTGCCAAGTGTTATTCAGATTCCACCACCAGTTAATACAACTATGGAAAATCCTCATTTAGGCCTCGAAAATTCCGAAAGTGGAGAAATTCCAAATAGCTCTAGAGCCAGAGGGTCAAGTACGCCAAATAATTTTAATTTACTAAATCTACTACTAACCTTGCAGAAACAGCTCAAGGAACAAAATGAGCGGGTAGAACAGATACCGGAAGTACCACCCGTGATTAAAGGTGTGAATATAGACAAACATTCACAACAGCTATGGAAGTCAAGTGCAGCACCATTATCAATATCGAAAAATTTTAAGATGTCCGGTATTCCTAAGTATGACGGGCTACTAACCCACGAGATCATGTTACTGCATTTACCACAGGAGTCAAAGGCAACGACCTAACCAAGCAGGAAGTCGAATCGGTGTTGGTAAAAAAAATTGGTGAAACCCTTACGAAGGGAACACTAATATGGTATTCTTTTTTACCTGAAAATTTAATTGACTCTTTTGTTGAGCTTGTAGATTCATTTATAAAAGCACGTTGGGGAGCTCAAAAAGTTTTTTTTTAAAAAAGGGAGATATCTTCAAGGTAAAACAAGAAAGTACAGAGTTGCTCATAGAATTGGTGGATCGCTTCTAGCGAGAAAGTATGATGTTACCTCGCGTACCTAATAATTGGGCAGAAATGGCATTTGCTAGCAACCTGAATGAGAGAAGCTCTGAAGCCACGAGAAGATTAAAGAAAAGTTTGCGAAAATTTTCAGCGACCACTTGTAATGATGTTTATAACAGACATAGCACAAAAATTGCGAATAGAAGAAGATACGATATCCCAAACTAAGGTGGAGAATAGGTTTGGATCTAGACGGTCAGAACCAGAATGAAGGTCCGGGAAAAACAAGTACAAACCTTATAAGGGACCTGCAAGGCAAGATCTTAGGCCAAAATTAGAACAGGCACGGTTTGATCAAAGATCACAACAGAAGGAAGCAGGTTCCTCTTTTCAATTTGGAAAGGAACGGAATATGACAAGAAACAACGATCAAAATTCTCGATCAAAAATAGGTGATTACAACTTCAAAGTCAGTACTTCCGAGTTAGTAGTAGTATTAAGAGGCATGGGCGATAAGGTACGGTAGCCCAAAGAGATGAGATCATATCCTAGCAAAAGAAGCCAGGAATTCTTGTATGAATTCTATAATGATCACAGTCACAGAACACCATATTGCAGGCTCCGGCAAGCAGAGGCTGATTATTTATTTAAAAAGGGATATCTCGCTGACCAAACTAGTGAGAAAGGTAAGCAATTTTTTATAAAAAATATAGAAGAACCACCAAAGCCCTCATCACTGAAGAGAACGATGAATGCAACAACTGGGGGTGGGGAGGTTAATAGAGTAATATACACATCAGCAAAAAGAACAGCCAAAATCTCAGTGACCCAAGGGAAGCGGATTCGACAAGTCTTGGAGAGAGAGAGCATAATATTTGACGATGATGATGCAGATGGCTTGTTCATCCCTCACAATGATGCGCTGGTAATCTCTTTACTTGTTCATGATACTAATATCAAATAAGTTTTGATTGATCCATGTAACTCTGTAAATATAATATTACTGAGAATGGTCAATGAGATGCAAGCAATTGATGATGTAATACACAAGGCTCGATCTTTGTCTAGGTTCGACAATTCAAGTGTCATAACAAAGGGAAAAACGCTATCTACATTTTCTTAGGGTGTAGTGAAAGACACCAAGTTCCAAGTGATGGATGCAAACATGGCTTACAACATGATTTTAGGAAGTCCGTGGATTCATAATATGGATGCAATACCGTCAACTTTGCATCATGTTATCAAATTCCCGTCATAATGAAAAATTCATTAGATAAGGGGATATCAACAAGCAACACGAGAAACCAGTACGTCTGATGTGGTGAGTGGAACTACCAAAGACGAGGATGAAAAATAGCAATTACAGTCTTCAGCTGAGGAGAATATGCTTTCTACCTCAACTGAAAGAGCGAGGAACAAAGCATATATAGATGCAAGACCTGACATGATCCAAGATCCAGAAGAGAATAAAACTACTAAAACAAATATGGAAGAGCTCGAAGCTGTTATATTGTTCGTCCACTGGCCTGACGGAAAAGTCCATGTTGGGACAAACTTAAGCCCGGAGTTGAAAAGTAAGTTAATTGAATTTTTACGCATTAATGCTGATTTTTTTGCCTCGTCACACTCAGACATGACAGGTATTCCACCAGAGGTAATAACTTATAAGTTAAATGAAGATCCATTCCACCCATCGGTGAAACAAAAGAAGAGAAAACAAGGAGCATTCAAAAATCAGGTAATTCAAGAGGAGGTAAGTAAACTTTTGAAAATTGGTTC